TTTTGGTTTATTTATCCAAACCACTGTGTAATGCATATCGAAACAGGCCAGATGGTTGGTTAATACTACCAATGACGTCTTTTGTTTGATGCCTTTCGGCAACAGAAAACTTTTTTTCAACGTCCTTGTTTTGGTTGCATTCCTTCCGGGCATTGGCATACCCTCTGATCTGTGCTGCATCTATTTCGATCGCCTGCACACCATTTGATGTCTTCGAGTCCCCATAAAATAAAAGGTGAAATACTTACGTTTGCCTTGTATTCATGGGATGGGATAATTAGTTTGCTTGTATATAAGTCACTGCTTTGGGTCATATTTACACGTATTTAGCCTTATTTTTCCTAACAGTACCACCTATAATTTAGGAACCTCCCCTACTCCGTGTTCTAGTACGAGCATTTCTTGTCAATCAGAGAGTGGATCAAACGATCTTGACGGGTGCTTGAAGTACTATCACAATCGTACTTTAGTGCAGGTGTTTCAAAGACTGCCCTATTTGATTTGATTGATTTTTTAATGCTTTTGCATATTGCCACTAATGGCCGACTGATTCAGCTGTATTTGGAAATTACGTGTTAGATGGCCCGAGGCAAGACTAATGATAGTAGGGGTTCTAGTGCCATTGCCAAGTGGGAATACGAAATAGAGTGCTATTATGTTCAGCTGTTGCAGGAACACAAGGAAGTTGGCAACTTGTCCAAAAATAACATAAATGCCTGTGTGTTTGAGGATGTCCGGAATAGACTGAACATGAGGTTTTGCCATAAGTCATACGACTGTGACCAAGTCAAAAGAAATTACTACAGTTTCATGAGGGTTGCACGGCTATTCAAGGAAGTTGGTAACCAAACTGGCGTAGGGTGGAATGAAACATTAAAGTGCTTCTCTGCACCAGATTATGTTTGGAGATACTATGGCCAGGTTAGGGACTTGCACTTAGTCAATCCATTTTATCAAATTGGGCAATTCATCGTCTATGTCCTGTCCAGAAGTGTCTTAATTTGATTAATTACCATTTACGCCTAAGTTTCCACTTATATTTTGTTTAGGACAAAGATATAAGTCTTATCAAGAATCGGCCCAGCGACCATTACTGGAATTTGGTTGAACTTTTTGAAGATATTGGCGCCCTACGAACTTACGGCCAGTCTTCCAATGACCCACCTGTAACTGGGGAAGAGGCCCGATCAAGGCAAATGAACTATGGTAGAAATGCCGGTGACTGCACAATAGGTACTGAGGGGTCTACGCCAGGGTTGGAAATTCCAATTGATGTAGACGCTGAGAACTGCGATGCAGTCTCTGACGAGGAGCCACAACGCCGGGGTGGCAAGAAAGGGAAGCAGAAGAATAGTCGAGGTACCTCTTCTGTGCAAGAGGGTTCAAGGTCTTTGTCTGACAAGAGAAAGCGTGATGAAATATATGATCGTGCTTACGAGGAATTTGGCCTTGCAGCTAAGGCAAAGCGTTAATACTACTCCAGTAAGTCTGGATCATATAATTCTTCTGACCCCAATTCTCAGGACTCTGCCGCCAACTGTGTAAAAGAAGTGGACAAATTACAAACCTTCCTTCTTGAAGGCCAGGCCAATAAGGCATACGGTTTCTTTAAGAAAGATGTATGGAGGCAGATGTTTATAGCAATGTCCCCTGCCCAGAGGATTTCATGGATTAATAGCCTGTAACGTGATAGCCTGTAACGTGATCTTTGAAATCATGTTATTCTCCAGACGGAACCGATGACCTTGTACTTGAGAGCACTTGGTCTAGTTTTTAAATAGTCTGTTGTACGCTTATGTAGAACCGTCCCACGTACTAATTGGTGGTTTAGTCCAAACTTAGATGTTGTCCGAAGTTGTTGTTCATTGCTTTGTATGTCAAAACAGAAGTTTTAGAATTGGCAATGAAAGAAACAGAAAGATGGTATCTTGTGGTTAACTTAATGGCATGGCATGTTACACAATAAGTACTTCTATTACTAATGCGCAGCTGGCCTAATGAACTGGAGATGTAATGAATTTTTTCTTTTTTTTGGAGTTGAAAGTCCTTTCAACATTGTAACCAGAATATTATACAACAATAGGACTTCCTACGTCTTCTCTCTTTTTCTGGTTTTAAAAAAATCAGATGACTTCTACCTCTCTTGCCTCTAGCTCTCTTGGCGCCGGTACTTTATGCTGTTAAATCACCCAAAACTTTGTTGAAGCTGAGGAATAGAAAGTAACTATTGTTACTATGAGCATGCTAGTGCTTAAGTAAAGCTCAGAGAGTTAGTAAGGATATATCCCCTGCCGTACAAGACAAACAAGAAAAACTGGTCCTACCATATGAAGTCTGGGCAAATGCTGATATAGATCCAGTGATTTTAAGGCCCAGCATTACAAGCTTAATATAATTTTCAGACTCTGTATACAAACAATTTTAAGGGATATAAAATAGTACTAGTTTACATGAGCTTGGTTGGTACCTCAATTTGCTCGCTTCCATGATTTCCAGGTTAGATTCAGTAGTCAAAACATTGTTAGATTTAGTTGGAATTAGGGACCCTGCATAGTTTATTTGGGTACTTAGGTAAAGACTATCAATATGACCAAAAAGAATAAACTTAGGAAGCAAAATCTGTGTTCACAAATGGGTCGAGGCAATAGGACAAAACAAACTGAATAAAGGACTATATAACCGACTAAGGGTTGCAAGTTAACCACAAAATGTAAAGGACCACAGCTAGTACATTTCACAGTCAGTGGGGAACTGATTTTGATCCGAGCTACAACTATATAACTAAATGTGCAAGCTGTTTTCACATGTTGTTGCCTCTAGCTCTCATGGATTGCAATGTCCACATGTTGTAGGTTTAACTTACATATAAATAAATGTCCCACGAACTTGTTTTTATGGATTTCAGCATTGTCAGCTTGTACACTGGGTTTCCCTTTGTGCCTTATTTGTCCACCCAAATACATCTTTTCATCTCTCTCGGTTGGATATCCTTCATCTGTTGAACCTTCCAACGCGCTCTGTTTAACTTTGTAGATGATAACCGGAGACCATATTGTTTGCAGATAAAAGCCACAATGCAGAATATAGTTGGAGAACAACATAGTGATTCATCGTCCGATGATGAAGAACTTGAATTCTTAGCTTTGTTTGGTGTGAATGCACCTTTGAATGCACGCTACAATGTGGCGCCTGTGGGTGGCGAAAAGCGTCATTTTTATGACGGGGAAAAAAGTGAACAGGACTGGATCGATGACCTTAAAGTAGGACATCATGACAGAATGCTAAATGCCATGAGGATGGATGTTCCTTCTTTCTTAAACCTATGTGAAATTTTAGTCAACGGAAATTTCATTAAACAAGATTATCGGAAAAGGGTTCAGGCTGAAGAGGCTGTAGGCATGGCTCTACATTGTGTGAGCCATGATGAACGGCATCGAAATCTTGCCGAGAGGTTTCTCCACTCCACTGAAACGATCCACAGGAATATTAAGGAGGCATTGCAAGCTATTGTGCGTTTAGCCCCGATTCTAATACGGCCGAGGAATGAGACTGGTGTGCATCCCAAGATATACAACAGCAATGCCTTTTATCCATGGTTTAAGGTTAACAGCTTCTATTGTCCTTCCAATACCTTTTGTCCGTAGTCTTGCAAGCAATTGAACAGGATACTAGATTGTGTGGTTGTTCCCCGCTTCTAATACTAATATACACTCTTTCACTTGTTTTCACATGGTAGGACTGTGTTGGCGCTAGAGGTGGCAATATGGATAAATGGTTCATAATTGGTTTTGACTTAACGGATAGTGGATGAAATTTATCCAATCCATTTAAATCCATTTAATAAATGGATCTAAATGGATGGATCTAAATGGATTAAATACAAACCAATTATCCATTTATAATCCATTTAAATATTTTCGTAACTTTTTTTTTTGTCAGATCCTTCGGTATGAAATAGCCACTTTGGGCCCTGACTAATCCGGAGTTGAGCCAGGTTGCACCCCATAAGAGGCGCAAGCTCTCCCTATAAGAGTTGTAGTGCTTCTGGTAAAAATGCATTTTTAGGTGCTAAAAGCAAAACGTTTGATGAATATCATCCTATAAAATTAGGAGTAAAAATTTTTGTGTTCAAAACACTTTTAGCAAAAGGTTAAATTTGGTACTTTTATAGTAGCTTTTGTGATTTAAAAAATAAAACATTGAATTTAATCATTTTATCCTATATTATGAACTAAATAAAGAGATAAATACATTTAAAATTTTTTAAATTACATATTATCCAATACAATAAGTATTTATTGAACAATATCTCCAAATAATATATTTTAAAGCATTTAAATACTTAATAAGTATTTTTATTAAAAACTCTATTGAAAAATTATTTTTTAATAAGTTATTGTAACTCGCAACAGGCCCTTAGTAGAAGGCAAAGAACATGTGATTATTAAGCAACTAAAGGGAAAAATCTACAAAAAAGAAAAGACGAAAATATACTGAAGGAAGTAGAAGACAATAACAAAAAAGGATTCTTCTCAGATTTAACAAACTCATAGAGGCCAGTTGTCAATATTTTGACTGTGTTTCTAGCTCCACTTCTTGTGAACGTGATGATGTTCTCTAGTTTTGTGGGCCCACAACGATGACGCTTTCTGGAAGGAAGAGAAGAAGTTATTTGTGAGTCCTGGGTCCGTCTTTCCATTGCATTCTATTTTGCTAAATGGATTTATATGGATCAAGTGGATAAACCATGTAAATCCATCAATTTAATTGGTTTTAAATGGATAACCATTTAAAACCATCACACTTTTTCTAGTCATCCAAATCCATTTAAACTTGGTTTATATGGATGGATAAATGGATTTGAATCCATTTTGCCACCTCTAGTTGGCGCTATAGACGGAACTCTGATTCCCGCCAGTGCGCCACTAACTCGGCAACGTGCTTTTCGTAGTAGAAAAGGCAAAATTTCATAGAACGTGCTAGCTGCTTGTGACCACGACATGCGATTCACTTATATTTATGCTGGTGTTGAAGGGAGTGCTCATGATACTAGAGTTTTTCAGCATGCTGTGTTGTCCCCTGATTCTTCATTTCCAATGCCGCCTGCAGGTTAAGTTATCCTTCCTAATGTTTGTCTTTTCACAATTGTGAAACTGGTTTAAGTTCAACTGATTGTGTAAGCTCTCCGGGCCTAAGCAACATGGTTTCCCTTCATCTATGTCCTCAACTAGGTAAATACTATCTTGTTGACTCGGCTTACAAGAATATGCCTGGTTTTTTGGCCCCGCATAAAGGCCACAGATACCAACGAGACCAGTTTGGCGGGGAATCTGGTGGACCAAGAGGCAAGTATGAGCTTTTCAATCACCGTCACTCGCAACTCCGCAATGTCATTGAGCGGACCTTCGGCGTGCTAAAGGCTAGATTCTCAATCTTGAAAGGGCCAATGCCGAACTACTTGATGAATAGACAAGTAGAATTGGTAATTGCCTGTTGTGTATTACATAACTTTATCAGGGATGAGCATCCGCATGATGAGTTGTTTGCAAGGGAGTCCGGGGAAGATGAAGAAGATTATGCCGATCCGGGTGCACAACCCCAGCAAATTGACTTATCTGCTGCGGCACAGCGCAATTGGAATAGTTTCCGGATGGCCATAACCGATCACATGTTCGACCACCGGAATGGGAGACATGTTCCACACTAGTATGCCTGTGGTGTGCTAGTTTGATGCTCAAACTTAGCTTCAAGTGTTTCTGTACTATATGAAATATTTGTACGTAATGGCTAAAACTGTAACGGGGAACTGATGTGCCTTTTGCATTCCAATTTGCCTTTATTTTGGATATTCTGGACTGATCGCTATGTAACCTTGTGCTAAGATATGTGTTTTCTCTGTTTACACAAGCCAAGTGGGGCGAAATGAACACGGAAATTAGTCACAGGCTATAATCTTTGTTTTTAGATTATTCTTTTGTAGCTAATGTGCTAGGCATATGTTACAAGTCTAACACAGTTGACATGTCAATATATTGATTTGCTATATGACATTAGCGAGTAAAGGAATGTTGGTTATGAGCTGCTGCATATCCTTGCTTTCATTTGTAGCCTTATAAATAGAGTTGCAATTTTACTCCGTACTATGGCCAGGTGTAGAATGTCATGATGCAATGGCTGAACCTGAGGTATGAATAGCAGACATTGTTATTTCAATGTAGGACTTATTTTTATATCTGCTGCATTTATCAATGGATTCCTGTCAATTTTTGTATGCCCCCGTTCATAATGGCCACTCATGTTAATTGACTGGGGCCTCTGTTTAGCTGTGCAACCAGCAATCTGCCACTTTTTTGCCAATCCTTTGTTGCACTTCGTAACATTGGGCCTGTTTAGCAACATTACCCAGGCAAAACTGCACCTTTTAGTTCCACGTTTATAGCAAATGCGAGGAATGTTCATAGCAAGCTTTGAAATGATCATTGCAATCTCAGGTCAGGAAACTACCCTATTCGCTTGGCGTGCCATTGTTTTATGTTCTGGTTTTCATAAAAGGCTCAAGCAGGAGAATTTGGGTGCTGATTTTAATTTACTACCCTCGTAGCCTTCACCTTTGCATATTATGGATCCGGATCATATTCCCAATTCTCCTGACCGTTACAGCCTTTTATGTCTATTTTAAATCGCTTGCCGAGACTATGTTTCAGATAAGGCAGTTGATTGCCTAACCAACAATCAAAAGGTTAGCGCCATATTTTCCAGTGAAATTTGCAGCAATCCAAACAACATACTTGAACAAGTGCAATCCAAACAAGTTTCCATGTTTTCCGTCGGAAAACAACAGTGATTTTCCATCGAAAAATCGCAATCCAAACGCCACCTAAGAATTTCTCGAAGATGAAGATGGTAACAAAAAAGAAGATTTCGTTTAGCTCCTCTTGACCCTCAAGAAAATGCCACCGAAAGATTCATCCAAAATATCCCACAAAATTTCACTCCTAAACTCGCTTCACTCTCTAGCTGACGACAACCTTAGCCTTTGCCTGATTATAGACGACCGGGCCATCAAATCCCCGTATAAAATTATTGCAGAATTCGGTCAAAAGAAGGTGAAGTTCGAGGATATTCTCATTGATATGGTTGTCAAGCTATCCACATTGAAATCAGATTGCAAGACTCTGGAGGGAAGGTGAAAGCTGTATCAATCATACGACATGTTTTTTTGCGGATAAAAGGGTTCTTTCGTTGCTTCCAGGTGTTTTAGGGAAGCATTTTTATAAGAAGAAGAGGAAAATTCTGGTGCCGTTGGATTTGAGGAGTAGGGATAATTGGAAAGAGCAAATTGAAAGGGGTAAATTCGGCATTTTTATGCTTTGGGAATCGCACGGGCACTTAGATCTGGTATACTTAACGACTAAATCTAACAGAATAGCCTCGAGTTTTAACTTTGGACATGTCAGTAGCCAAAATCAAACTTTTAATAGTTTAGTGACCAAAACTCGACGATTGCAAAAGTTTGGTGACCGTCTGTATAATTTGCTCTTCTTTTTATTACTTTTAATTCTAAGAAAATTTATTGAGGCGAGACCTATTCTCGTTTATAGTTTTTAATTAACATGAATGAGTTCACCTTAAAAAAAAGACTGAAAATCAATATTAATATTTTTAAACAATAGATACAAATATAATAATTTCTAAAATTAGAGTTCTGTCTTTAAGTCATATGTCACTTGATTTTCTAACATCAATACGCTCCTACCCTCTCCTGTATAGTATTTCTTCATGTGTTTTCGATAAAAGTGAGGTATGAAACTAAAAAATAATTATTAATGAGCAAATAAACGTCTCAATGATAAATGTAACATGCACTGGTCAGCATGAGTTAGATTAGCTAAATCTAATAGTTTTTTTTTTTTTTGAAGAATTAACTAATTAGGTGCACGAGTCTTTCAAAAATGATGTGCACAATGAGGTCTCAAAAGAAAATTTCATTTTCAGTTTTTGAGATATCAAAAAGAAACAACGAACAATTTCTCAATCCCCCAAAAAAAAAAAAATGACACACACAACAGAGTGTGTTAAAAACGCAGATCATTGAAGAAATTCAGGATCCATTCCGTCTCTCTCTCTCTCTCTCACGCACTCACACCCGCACACACTGTGTCTTACACTCAATTGGAGAGAGCGGTTTTTTCCATTTAAATACCATTTACAAACACTCCGACTCCTCCCGATTTATCTCCCTAAAAAAACCAATCATTTCTTCCTTCTACAATTAATCAGGGAAAGCCCTCGTAAAATCGTTGTAGAATTCATTAAAAAAATCGATCTTTGATTGTGCTTAAAGAGGAAGGAGAGCAAGAAGGAAAAGGTTAACAGGAGAGGAAAATGAGCAGCGCGGATCTGGTGACCACGAGTTCCAATGGAAATCTTGATGACCAGATTTCTCAGCTCATGCAGTGTAAACCCTTGTCCGAGCCTGAGGTAATGATTTCAGTATTGTTTTTTATTTTTGCATTTGTGGCTTTTGTTTATAGACTCTTTGCGGATCTGAGATTAATATTTTTCTTGAAGTTGAGCTGGAGGTTGCATGAACAATTAGATTCATGTTTTAAGATTTGTAGCATATTTGGAACAGGTTTGATGGATTGCATGTAATTAATTCGAATTTTTTAACTTTGTTTGAGAAAAATATTTGGGAATTAGGGTTTTTTGAATTGTAGTATATAATTGGGAGATTTGTAATGAAGTAGAATAGCATTGCAGTTTAGGTTTTTTATTTGGTTTCTTGATAGTGTTAAATGTTAGCTGTTGTTGTTTGTGGAAATGGGGATTTTTTTCCATTGGTTGACAGAATTCATAATGGTGTTTAAAGGAATGAAGGATGTGGAGAAGAAAGGAGAAATCTTTGGGGCTGTGTATTTTGGTTTAGAGAAGCTGGACTAGGGACAGATGTCTCGAATAAATAAATAGCCAGCAATGAAAGTCTCTGGTAATGAAGTTTTGAGTTTGAAGAATTTTGATTGCGAGTTTAGTGAAGATAAAACATTTGCTGTAAAAAAAACAGTCCTTTTTTTTTCTGCCGCTGGGGGGAGGGTGGTGTGGGTATGTCAACTGTTGGAACGCTGGGTTGACTACTTGGATGCAGTAGCATCAATTGACTGGATGCTCTCTATTTCTGATTGTTAGTTGGACTTTTTCCGGAAATGTTGATGGTCAAAGCGATTGAAAGAAGCCAAAGAGGCTATATCAGATTGTATAAACATTATAGAGGAAAGAAAAACTGAGGTCAGCAGTGCTAGAGATTTTTGTGAGTGGCAAGAGGGAGAGGGACAGAGGTGCATGTAGAAATTGTAATTGGCTTATGGTGAGTATAGTCTATATGGTTGAGGCTACTAGTCTTGCAATGTAAGAAGAGATAGTTGAAAGAAGTTATTGTTACCATATTATGGCTAGAGTTACATTATTTCCTTGTTAGTTTTCTTCAAAAATAACCCATTTTGAACTTTCCAGAAGGACCAATGCTGGAGTACTTTTAGGCAGGAACTTATGTTCAAAGCTTGTAGTGTATTAAGCTCAGTATTGGCTGTATTTGGGTGTACGTCACTCGAACAAATTGAAGATTGTCAGACTAGTTCATTGACATGCTTGGCTTTTAGTAGCTCTGATTTGGTTGTCAGTCTAGCATGTCTGTGTCTTTTTCCATCAGTAAATAACACTACCATTTTTTCCCTCTTAGCCATTTCAGATGTATGAATCGCTTTTTCATGCTTTTTTTTCGTAAATTATATGTACTTTATCTAATTACATTGGAGAACAGCAACGTTTAGGAAAATTTAAGATACCATATAATGTGCCTTTATGATAAGATCCTCTCTCTCTCTCTCTCTCCGTGTGTGTGTGTATGTGTGGCCTTGGTGCAAGTGTTTTAATGCTAATTAGGAAGAGGGATCAGTAATATCTTTGTCCCCTTTTTGAGAAGGTGGATTATTTGTTTTACTCTTTAAAGCCATTTTGTGTTCTTTTTGGGTTCTCTAGTATTGTTGCTGAAAGGATAACCTGGACTTCAGTAGACTCTTCTTTTACTGGACGCAGGTTAGGGGTTTATGTGAAAAGGCGAAAGAAATCCTAATGGAAGAAAGTAACGTCCAGGTATTGTTGCTTTTGCTTATTGTTTTGCAGTGCTGTGCTTCACTGTGCATGGTTGAGATCTACTGCTCAATTAGTATCTACACGTTGTTTTCAAAGGCTTATGGGGTTGAGAAGTATTATGGGATGCACAACATGAATTCACTCAATATTAAATTTGTGGATGTGTAACTATATTTAATGTAAGGTATCTATTTAACAACAAAGAGACCAAGTTCTGGAAGTTAGTTATCTTTCCCATCATCCCTTTTTTGGAAATACTAAATATGTCAAAGATTTTTTTCCTAATAAAAAAAATGTGGCAAAGTGCAGTTTCAATTGATGTTCTACTTGCTTGAGAATGACCATTTTGCGATAAGTTTGAGCAGAATAGTGGTGTTTATATGTCTTTTGCCTTGATTAGAAGTAGATGTTATATCTCATGTTTGTAAATTTTTCCAGTAAACCTTTGACGTGCTAAATTATAAATACTTGTCAACTTATGATGTCGTTTGATATTTCCTTTAGTTTTTTAACCTTGATACACAGGTAATTACAAAATTCTCTAATCATTGGTTTTAT